TAACGTACGGATGGACATTGAACTTACATGGAATGAGCTTAAAGGGTTTTTATCGACTTGCGTTTATTTAGTGTTTATATATTTTTAAGTCGTAACTTGTGCTTTGGCGTTGCTCACGAAGAACATTAATAAACTATCTTAGACCCAAAAATCTACGGTATTATCTGTTAATATATATATACATATATATAATATGAAAACCTGCTAGATGTATTAAAATAATTTTCACATATTATGTTCTCAGGCGTGTTCCTGACACATAAACACACACCCTCCTAACACTCACTCATACACACGTACATACCCTCTCCCTCTATCACACACACACACACGACACACACAAACCCTCAAATACACCCAAACAACTTTATTTCTAATAACTTCTAACTAGTTGACTGTTTTGTTTTTCTTTCCTTATTTAAACGTTACATTTGTTTGCCACCCATATATATATATGTACTTTTTGTTACCACTCAGTATGACTTAGCTGTGGAATGGAAGCCTGGTTATCCATATCACAGGTTCTTACCTAATTTGGAAACCAGTCTCCCAATACCTTCTCAACTGTAATCTTATTGTTTATTGCAAATGTTATATGGGAGAAAATAAATTATTATTATTATCAATATCTTTCTATTCGCATCGTCACAATCTCGTCTTGAGCGCTTTCAAACACGTCATACACCAAGAAGGTTCGGCAGTTCTTGAATTTAATTTTGATTGGCGTTCCAGATCGGCCTCAGTTATATAGTTTAGCATTCTTGTAAAAAGAGAGGGACCTGGGAAGATGAAATAAGAGATATAGGGAAAAGATTGGAAAAATATTATCGAAGATAATATATATAACATAAAGTGAAAGTAATCCTTATTATATGTATTTATCTTATAAATAATAAACCGGGCGCGGGCGCGTTGTGAGAAGGCGACCTCGTTTGAATGGTTTTTAAACTTAAGTAATATTTACAATCATTATTCTAGTTAGTAATGTACACAGCAGAACGAGAAAGAAACAAATCCTTTGAGAATTAGAAAGAGAAAAAGTAGGAGATGGTACGCCCCCACTATTGTGGACACAGCATTAGGGAGCCTCTTTAGAATGCATGAGCGATCTTGGGGCAAGTCCCAAGGCGCCTTTGGAACTTGCCCACCCGATAAAGTCAAAAGTCAAATCATTTCAATTCATTCAAAAAAATTCAAAATTAAAAAAAAATACAATTTTAATTAAAAGGCACTTGTGAAAGACAAAATTACAAGTTAAAAATATTAAAAATAAATTACTAATTGCCCCTTCCAATAGGTTTCATGTAGAGAAGAATGGGCAAGAAACTCCATATATACCTACTTTTAAAATATTTTGTATACATTTGATAATTATTATAATTCGTTCACTAAATAGCAGATTTTCTGGTGAGGGCCGATCCCCAAATACCCCGGCTACTTTCGGAAATGCAATGGATATATAAAATAGAACCACAATGTTGTAAATTCGCATTTACTATATAAAACAAGTTCTTAAGTTAATTGTTGATGAATATTTAAATTATTTTGTAATACATATATTTAATAAACCAGTAACGCTACAACCTTTTAGGTCTCTTAGGATTCGTGTTAATTTTCGTAATTGACAAGTAGGTTTCTGACAGAGGCCGTAGATTTTTGGCTCTAATTTCTCAATTCATCATACGAATAAGTGTGAGCGAGTTAAATGTGAACATACATATGTGGTGTCCATTGGTGCACCAGCACTACACGCTCTAAGCCAGGGCTTTCCAACGTGGGGCCCATGTCCCACAGGGAGTTATTAATTGGTAAGGGAGGTAATTCGAAAATAGACGAAGTTTTTCATTGTTTTGAAAATTTACTTACTGTGTTTCGTTAACAATTTCCTACTGATTTCTTCCTACCTATGACGTATGTTAAAAATTATGTATGTTATTTAAGGCTTACGGCATGGCACCAGAAAGGTTGGGCAACAATGCTGTAAGCCGTCACCGTCCTTTCCATTAAATTAAAAAAAAGTTGTTACAGATACCGGCAAACTTCTTGAGCATTAAACTAGGGAGTGGGGGAAAGTTTGCAAATCGTACGGGACGCGTGGAACACAAACGTCAACTGATTTACAAATCACGCGATCGACACGTCACTCAAACTCTCAAAATATCTTTATTCAAGTAGGTAACCAAGTACACTTTTGAATCGTCAAGTTAAATTAATCGTAAATTTACATTTACTACCAGTTCGCAAGTCAAGGGCGTAGAGCGGGTAAGAAGAACTGGCAAGAAACTTTCCGCCACTCTTTTTAATCGCCAAGTATTGTCATACAAATTGTTTGAACTGGAGCAATTCAATCCCAAGGATTAGGATCATTTAAGTAGTCCTCAAATTTATAAAAAGCTTTGTTGATTAATTTTCGTTTAACGAGGGCTTTGAATTTATTTAGTGATAATTCTCTAATTTCGCTTGGGAGCTTGTTGTAAAAACGAATACAATTTCCATATAAGGAGTGGTTTATCTTTTGGAGCCTGGTTGGTCGTACACTCAAATTAGTTCTATTTCGCGTATTATACTGGTGAAAGTCACCATTTGTTTTAAAATCGTTTATATTTTTTTGGACATACAACAAGGCTTCAAGAATATATTGACCAGATAGTGTCATAATATTTAATTCCTTAAACTTCTTCCGTACCGACTCCCTCGGAGAAACACAACAAATACCCCGAACAGCCCGCTTCTGCAGCACAAATATGGATTGAACCTCTGCAGCACCACCCCACAGTAAAATGCCGTACGACATAACGCTATGAAAGTAGCTATGGTACACAATTTTAGCCGTGTCCTCATCAGTAAACTGTCGGATTTTCTTTACTGCATATGCTGCAGAGCTCAGCCTATTCGAAAGAGTCTCTATGTGTGGGCCCCATTGGAGTTTACTATCTATTGTTATGCCTAGAAAAATAGTTTTGTCAACAAAGTTTAGTTCACTGTCCTTAATTTTCAGGTTACCAATATCTCGCTTTACGCTAGTAGTTGTAAATCTAATACATTTTGTTTTATTCTCATTAAGCAATAAGTTATTTACATTAAACCAGTTAACTATACGAGAGATAGAATTGTTTACATCGTCCAATAATACGTTATTCCTATTCACTTTAAATAGAAGTGAAGTGTCATCAGCAAACAATACCATCTCATGAACTTCGTTGACAAAGAATGGGAGGTCATTTATGTAAATCAGAAATAAGAAAGGCCCGAGAATCGATCCTTGGGGGACGCCCATTGATACCTGCGAACCCGGAGAGGTGACTCCATTGACATGAACTCTTTGGATCCTTCCCTTTAAATATGAATTCATCAGGCTGGAAGCTTTGCCATCAACGCCATAGTGTTGAAGCTTTCCAACGAGTATATCAGGATGAACACAGTCAAAGGCCTTTGACAGGTCACAAAAGACGCCGACTCCATCATATGATTCTTCCCAGGCGTTAAATATGTCCGAAATCAACTTCACACCGGCATCGATTGTGGAGCGACCCTTAGTGAAACCATACTGTTTATTATGTAAGAGTTTATTTTTATTAAAATGTAAAGAAAGCTGGTCTAGCATTATCTTTTCAAAAACTTTGCTCAACGCAGGGAGCACGGAAACAGGTCTGAAGTTTGACGGATCAGACTCACTACCGGCCTTGAACAACGGTGTAATCTTACTTAATTTCATTTCGTCCGGAAAGACTCCACAATCGATACATCTGTTAAAAATTATAGACAATTCAGAGCTTATTACATTAATAACGGAATTTAAAATGACTGTTGACATACCCCATATATCTTTACTTTTTTTTAAATTAATAAGCTTAAAAGTTTTAACGATATCATTACAAGTTATATGTTTAAACTGAAATTTAATATTACATTCAGGTACACATTTTTCTAGCAATGAGATCGCAGCAGCAGGTGAAGAATCTAGGGACTTGGTCGTATTTAGTGGTACATTTGTAAAGAACTCTTCAAAAGAAGAAGCTACCTCTGGGTCAGATTTTATTAACTTCCCTTTAACTTTTAACATATAATGAGTTCGTTTGTCAGACGTTTTACCTGATTCTTCATTTATTATTTTCCAGGTAGCTTTTACTTTATCCATGCTATTTTTTATTTTTGAACTTAAATATTGAGACTTTGCAGTTTTGCAATCTTTTTTGAAATTATTTGAATACAACCTAACATATTCCCTAAATTCCACACTAGTGTTATATTGCATTTCGTCATAGATTTCATATAATTTTAACCTTTTCCTGTGTAACTCCTCATTTGCCCAGTCACAGAAACTTGTTTTCTCAGAGACCAATAAAGTCTTTTGAGTAAATACTTTCTTGAATTCATCAATAAATGATCCAAAAAAAGCATTGTATAAATTATTAGGGGATGAGTTGCCACACAGAAATGGCATTCTATAGACCAATGCTTCTCTAAATCTGTCCAAACGGTCATTTGTAATAGGAGTTATCACAATTTTCTTCTTTTTACATGTTTTTTGTTTCCTTAATTGGAATTCAAACCATTGACCAGTGTGATCAGATTTCACTCTCCCGCCGTCGCGCACCCACTGCAAGTGATACCTAAAAATGGCTTTTGCATAGGCAGGGACATTTGTTCACGATGTTTGCCAGTATCTGTACTTAGTTTAACTTTGATGGAAATCATGATTTTCCCATGCACGTGTCCATCCATAAAATTAACTTTTGATTGTCTCGAAAGCGTATTATAATACAAATTAACTACGTTGTTTACTTCAAAGTATCCTCATAATTTTCCTTAACATTGTATATAGTTATTGTTTGTTATATAATAAATAATTTTTCATCTGTTATAGAGTTACACAAAAATAAAGGTTGGTAATGCTGTTACATGTTTTTCCATGATTTAGGAAATCGCGACTCTTATTAGATATATTTCGATAACAATAAACATACAAACAAATATACTGTCATACAAATAGTACTCACGTGCTTAATACTATAGTTGAGTATGCTCTCAATGTAAGTGGGCAGTTGATTGACGACGGTGAAGTAGCCGAAGACAGATGCCCCGTGGGTTATCACGATGGCCCAGACGGGTGCTGACGTCAGCAGACTGCGCCACGGTACCGGGTTGTGCTGAAAAGTGTATATATTATAATTACTATCAGCATATTACATAGATTCTGCGGCAATGTTGGAGAGACTGGGGCGGCGAGTGCTAAAAGGGCCGTCAACGCATTTGCGAGTAAAGTGCCTATCTCATACCTACATACATTCATAATTTTAGCTTAAATAAAGTAAAAAAATACTAACATTTTTTATTTTATTTTTGGTAACATTATTTTATGTTTTCCAAAATTGTTATATATTTTAGATAAGACGCATGTAACATATACCGTAGATATAGTATGTATAATGTATATATGATGTGGTATACTCCAATAAATATACAATAAATTCGAAATTAATATAAATCTATAGAATCACAGAAAATTGTAAAAAAACTATTGATCTTTTATATTTGTTCAACTGTTTGAAATGCCTTGAATTATTTGTTGCCATATGTAAATTTTTAACCTTGAAGTTATTGCCAAACTTGATATATAAAAGACACATTCGACAAATTATATGTACAACGCCATGATAAACAAATATAATATATAACATATTACCTTAAATATTTTTTTTTTGTTTTCAAGGTCCATTCCTCACATTTTTGTATTTAGCGTAAGTTCAATATACCTAATTCCTAAAATTTTACAATAACTTAAAAATATATGTAGATGATGTAGGGGTAATATGAAGTACGTAAGTACTATTGTCGTCTATGATTTTCTTATTTGGTGATTACGTCACCAGTGATTATTGACTTTTTTAAACATAATATTACCCACACATTGTCTATGCATTCATTGTCTATGTTGAAAACGAAATGCATTTTCGAGGATTCCTACAAAAAATTAATACGTCTATGTACTATTATTTTTGAGAGCTTTACTGACAAGAGGGGAGGGGGGTATAAATTGCAGTAAATCTGCTTACGTAATACTTGAATGGGCCCTTAGTCAAAAAATTACTCGGTGGAAATTTTCATCAACTCCATAGAGACCCATAGCAACTTTGGTGTGTGAATTATTTGCTATTATTATTATTTTCTTTATACCTACACACATAACACACACATAACAGTGTGTGTGCTTGGCGGACCCATGCGACTTCTTCAATACAAAGAGAGTTCTCCGAGATATTTTGATAAGTATCTGATTGTTCTCCTTGTATGTTTGAGAGCAAAAAATAAAATAAATATCACCTTTTTAATGCCTGCGTCGATTACAAGTGTTAGTTGGCGCCTTTAAAAACGTGGCGTGCTTTGTCTGACAATAAATTATTGATTTGTATGTTATTAATTATTCTGTTAATCATACATTGTTGTTGTTTCTTTGTATTGTTATATTTTGTTTTGTATATAGCGCAAACAAATACATTGTTTATGTGTAAATAAAATTGTAGCAGAAATTCCGATGACTTGATAATCTTAATATGATAGGTATTTAAGATAGTTATAAAACCTTATTTACTATTTTATTAAAACCCAAATTAGTCTTTGAAAGTATTCCTTCGTCTCTTTCTGTCACAAATTGTATTTACACTGTGTTAGAAAGAGAGTAAGAACTTTCGTTGAAATTATCCAAAAGCTTTTTCTATGAATGTAAAAAATGAACTTAATGTGTTAATACTTACGCCTTTGTTGGAGTCCTGTGGCAGTGCCTTCATGAGGTGGTTCCTCTCGGCATCAGAGATGCGTGGATGCTGCGCAGGTGAATCGTATACAACCGCGAACCATGCCACGGACCACATTATTCCGATAATACCTAGAATATATTAATATTTTACTTTATTTTTCATTGCCCTCTTTAGACTTCTATATAGGTAATATGTTTTGGTAACGTTTTTTAAACAGCCAAAGTAGGTGATCAGCTGTGATCATGATGGATGTAAAGCACGCCCGTTCTCACGATGTTAAGGGGTTCCCGACGACGATTCGAACGCACGACCTTAAGATTACTCCTTCAACACAGCTTTGACATAAATTATTCATAAACTCACGCCTAAGCTATGCCCTCAAACTATGCCTCGTCCATTAGTTGTTTCGTCCTTGTCACTCTCATATTCATCTTGAGAGACAAGAAATAAATTAAATTGGATTTTTTTTCAACACACAAATATCCAGTATTAACAATATTCTTAGCCTACATAATGATATAAATAGAAAACTAAAATAAATTTAAAAGATTTCGTCCTGTGGCAGTGTCCAATGCTGGCGTTTCCTCCATGTATTGCGATACTTATTCATTGAGCGAGGAAAGCACCAAGCTCTGGGGTCACCGGAGTAACCAGGCGCCAACTTAAATCTTTAATTAGCGCCTGTGCATTCGAACCCCACCCCATTCATTTAAATTATACTAATAATGTACGTACCGGTAAAGTAAAAGGCTGATTCCCACCCGAAGTGCGCGATGAGGAAGCCGCAGATGGGCATCGTGAGCGCTGCTCCAAGGGACGATGCTGTTGATAAAACATTAATGAAAATGATATCAAAATCGTAATTAATATAAGTTTATGTATGCTGTGTGTATATGTGTACTTAAGTAGTTACTGTTTTATAAATCTTTATTAGTAGTGTTATTATTAATAAACGTCAGACATAACATTTATTACTAAAGAAACACACAAAAAAACATACAAAATACTAATAATAATCATCAAAAAGAAAAATAACAAATAAATAGGTACATTTTGTGTGTGTGTTGTGCTTTGGAGCAGACATGTTCGCTGGTCATTATATCAATATACAGTATCAATATACAGTTTTATAGACTATTTAATATAATAAATTGCGAAATATAAACGCGCTAAACAACACCACAGATAACAGCGATTTTACATAGATTATTGAAACTTTTGGCGACAAATAAAGAAACTCCTTGGTGACACAATATTTTTGAAATTGGAATGTATAATTTCAAGCATCATTCGGAATAACTTAAAGATGATTATGTAATTGTATAACGAACAACAAAAGCATGACGTACTTTAAACATTATTCATATCGCCATTCAAAGAAAACAGTGGTTGTGATCACATTTTTAAAAATAAATCAGTGGCGCTAGCTTTTTAGGTCTCAGCCTCAGATTTCTTATTTCATATTTATTTGTCAAACTAATAGGCAAGTAGATGATCAGCCTCCTATGTTTTCGAGCGAATGTTAAATGCGCAGATAGAAAGTCTATTGGTGTACAGCCGGGGATAGAATCTACGACCTCGGGGATGAGAGTCGCACGCTGAAGCTACTAGACCAACACATCATTTTATGTTTCAATAAATAAATCTTTATCAGCCATTCTCTATTCTTCCGAGTTATAAAATACTATTACAAGTATATTAAGTTCCTATAAAAATCAACTGGTAAACGACATCGCCTTGATGTGCGAATCACGGCACCCTTGCCCTCGGCTGCTGAACTGGGTCTAGGCACTGACGAGGAAGACATTTTGACCTTAAGAATTCGCCAATGTCAACATGAGGAAATGTTAATATTAATTATGAATTGATTACTAAGATTTATTATTTTTGGATATTTGCAATTTTTACGACGATCAAATCACATGAAGAACTTGCTAGAATGCTTCTAATTTTACATTTACTATTCTCAAATCAAGGGCGTAGAATGGACGAGATAAAATTGGCAATAAACTCTCCGCCACTCATTAATCGCCAAGTTTTTTGTTTTACACAATGTTTGTAAGGAGCTGCAACCATTACACCATGACATCTACATCATGACATCTTTAAATAATTAATAGTAAGGCTTTAAAGGAGTATCAAGAATATCCATAGCGCTAACGCTGCATGAACACACCTACAAACCCTCACAGTCGAATTAGGTATTACGAATTCAATTTTTTTTTTCTTTCGTAAATATTTAAACCTTTTTGTATACATTATGTATTCCATCTTTAGGTTTTAGTATATAATTTAGGTAAACTGTAGGATTACGAAATAAATAAGTATAGGGTGTATATATATAAGTATAGTACAGGGTGTCCCAAAAGTCGACGTCAAGTCGAAATTTTCTCATAGGTAATGCCACACCAGTTATCAGAAAAATTAAAAAAAAAATAAGTCATGTATTTTTGAAGTTATGGATATTTTTTTGTTATTCCAGAAAATGCACACCATGTGACAGTTTTTTCATTCCTGTTGTTACAAATATTTACTTTTTGCCAATTTTTTTTCTCTTACGTCATCCCGAATAGTGTTTTATGTAACCTATGATCCTAAACTCTGTGCTGATCACTCCAACTTTTAGGAAAATGACATTTTATACCGTACCAAGTTTTCAAAATTAATTTTCGCACTACTTCAACTGATCGTCCTGAAAAAAAAATGTATTACTCCAGTTTGGCAAGTAGCTTTAAAAATTAGCGCATTTAATAAGGATTCTACAGTGGTATAACACTGAGTCCATTATTTCTTAGATCGGCCATTAGAATTTTTTTTGTTAAACAAAGTCTGTTTTTAACAATCTCTTTGAAATTACAACAAATTATTCTAGCGCACCCAAAACGTTCCTAATGACCACAGCGTGGTTTAAATAAGATGGAGAGAGACATTCCATAAAATGTGAGCGAGACAGATAGTGACGCTTATGACATACGGACGCAAATAAGTAAAATAGACAGTTTCTTTTTTATGATTAGATTTATTACTTTTTTTATAAAAGATGTTCAAATTGCCGTCCTTCAGCTGCAATACAGGCTCGACATCTCCTTAACCCCAGTAAAAAAAATCAAGAGGATTTAAATCGGGTGAGCGGGCGGGCCACGAGATTGTACCACCCCGCCCTATCCATCTGTCTGGATACTCCTCGTTAAGGTGGTTTCGAACTAAGCGGCTGTAATGCGCTGGACAACCATCTTGCTGGAACCACATATCTCGTAAAATAGTAAGCGGCACGTCCTCCAGCAAATTGGGCAAATGATTTTGTAAGAAATCTAAATAAATTTCAGCATTTAAAACTTCTGGTAACTCAAAAGGCCCTATGACTTTTCCGTTCAAAATTCCAGTCCACATGTTAACTTTGAAACGGTACTGTGATCTGTCTGGTCTCATCAATCGTGGATTTTCGACGTGCCACTCGTGCAGATTGTGTAGGTTCATGTAGCCGTCTTTTTTAAAAGTTGACCGACCATAAAAATGTTTCTAAGAATTGTGGGTCTTCTCGGTGTTTTTGAATTATTGTTTGGAAATGGATGGAACTTTTTTGTAGTATTCGGTGAGCTGTACTTTTGGGCACACCTGTGCTGGCCTCAATTCCACGTACCGAACAACTTGGGTCCTCATCAACTGCCTCGTAGGGTAGTGAGTGACATTCTACCTTCACCGTGCACTTGGTTTGGCAGTCGGCCCTCAGAGAACAGTAGACGGTGCACATTGGTAAAAACTCTGTGATCCGGATAGCGATCTGCATTAGGGTATCTCTCGCGATACCGTCTAGCGGCTTCACTGGCATTACATAAACATTCCCCATAAATGAGGTGCATGTTAGCATATTCCTGTGTAGTGTACGTAGCCATGGTATGGTACAAATACACAATAACACGTAAGTCCAGGGAAAAGTAAAGGTCGTCGTAGATCACAAATGAAAAATCCAAATCACAAGCAAACAAGTCCGTAAACGAAGCCAAAGTAGTTAGAACACAAAATAACACCAGCGAATACGAAAAGATGCGTAGTAAACGAAGGAGCGTTACGTACTGACCTGTAGTGCGTGTGTCAATAGCAATATGTAGCGTCACTATCTGTCTCGCTCACACTTTACGCCATCTTATTTAAACCACGCTGTGGTTATTAGGAACGCTTTGGGTACACTAGAATCGTTTTTTGTAATTCCAGAGAAATTTAAAAAAAAACAGACTTTGTTTAACAAAAAATTTTTTTATGGCCGATCTAATAAATAATGAAGTAAGTATTATACCACGTTAGAATCCTTATTAAATGCGCGAACTTTTAAAGCTGCTTGCCAAACTGGAGAAGTACATTTTTTTTTCAGGACGATCAGTTGAACTAGTGCGAAAAATTAATTTTGAAAACTTGGTACGGTATAAAATGACATTTTCCTACAAGTTGGAGTGATCGGCACAGGGTTTAGGATCATAGGTTACATAAAGCACTATTCGGGATGACGTAAGAGAAAAAAATTGGCAAAAAGTAAATATTTGTAACAACAGGAATGAAAAAACTGTCACATGGTGTACATTTTCTGGAATAAAAGGAAAATTTCCATAACTTCAAAAATACATGACTTAATTTTTTTTTTTTTATTTTTCTGATAACTGGTGTGGCATTACCTATGAGAAAATTTCGACTTGACGTCGACTTTTGGGACACCCTGTATATGTAATTCTACTGTACGTGTGTATGTCACTGTACTCCTCTTAAACGGCTGGACTAATTTCAATGAATTTTTTTGTATGCGTTTGGGTGGCGCCCTAGATGGTTTAGATTCACAAATCAGCCCTGCAGATGACGCTGCAGTCTATATCTAGGTTATTTATCTATACAGCAAATAAACAACTAGTATTTGTATTCTTCTGTGCATGTCTTCGTAATTAAACTCCTAAACGGCTGGACAGATTTTGATGAAATGTTTTGTGTTCAAGTGGAATCGAGAATGATTTTATTATTAGATCTTTTTGTGTGTACATGACGTCTGTCGGATACGCTAATGTTATATAAACCTCATATCATATACTCGCTCAATCACACTTGACTATACTATTTTATAACATAACATATTACGTAAGAGGTACATAGGTTTAAAAGTAATAAATTCTAATAAGAGCTATTGTCTCATTGATATGAATAGGATGAAAATATAGCATTATTTGTTTTAGTACCAGAATATTCGTATCGTTTCTGTATATTTTACTTTAATAGATTCCTTTGTGGGTTTTACACCGTGTTACATATTTAAAAACACTTAAGAAATTTAACAATGTACGATTGGAGATCTTTTTGCCGGTATTCTTGTATTAATTGCTAAATCAATCCTTTATCCCACACTCTAGCAATATGACCCATTCCTCTAAAAATCTTTAATATGCCAAACTGGAGTAATACATTTTTTTTCAGGACGATCAGTTGAAGTAGTGCGAAAATTAATTTAGAAAACTTGGTACGGTATAAAATTTTCCTAAAAGTTGGAGTGATCAGCACTGAGTTTAGGATCATAGGTTACATAAAACACTATTCGGGATGACGTAAGAGAAAAAAAATTGGCAAAAAGTAAATATTTGTAACAACAGGAATGAAAAAACTGTCACATGGTGTGCATTTTCTGGAATAACAAAAAAATATCCATAACTTCAAAAATACATGACTTATTTTTTTTTTTCTGATAACTGGTGTGGCATTACCTATGAGAAAATTTCGACTTGACGTCGACTTTTGGGACACCCTGTATATATTTATTTTGACGTTCATAAGTGTACATTGCGTTACCTATATGAATAAATGATTTTGACTTTTTAAAGTATTTTATTATCTAAGTTTTACATACATAAATGTTTAAAGCTTTATATGATTCGTATATGATTTAATTTTCCTAATAATTAGGTCTTATGAGTAATTACGATGTGAACTTTTGCTCCTATTTAGCGATGATATCAATCAATGAACAGTAGGATTCCGTCGCCTCTTTAGGTCAAAGGGTGACCAATATTTACTGATGTTCTGGTACTCTTCCATTAGCATAATCGCCTTCTTGTCTCAGACATGACGAATATTGCTTTTAACTTTTGACACAATCTCTATTGATAAGTTTCTATGCAAAATACAGCAATTTATCGCAATGATTGTGTGGATTTCGGTCCTTATTAAAATGATGGTACTGGGTTCAGGTATGGATAGCAGACGCAAAAATTGTGATCTCTGCAAGGCAGAACGTGGTATGAAGAATTCCGCTTGCTCTCATCTTCTAATCCAATCATAAGTTTTATTTTTTAGTGGATACTTATTTTGACGTATATGAGTCAGTCTTTGCGTTAAGTCTTTAAAGAAAGCTTGACTTGTTACTTAGTTACTTAATAAATAATAACTTTTCAACAATATGTACGATATAGAAAATATATCTTGTCTTAACTTTTTGCCTGTTGCGACAAAAAGCGCTCGCATTGATATGAAATAATTCCAAAGCTAGAAATAGTAGCGTGTAGCTTTAAAAACTAAACTAAATATATATAGTTTTTTTAAAGCAACACAAAGAAACCCAAGTTCTTGAATTTGCACGTGCTTTTATAAAAATCTAATAAATAAATCAGTGGCGCTACAACCGTTTTAGGTCTGGGCCTGAGATTTCTGCATCTGTTTCATGATTTGTCAATCTCATAGGCAAGGTAGGTGATCCAAGGCAAGTAGATGAGGTCCGGCACAGGAGGCTTTCTGTGCCGGACACATTCCGTCGACTTTTTGGATCTAAAGCAAGCCGGTTTCCTCACAATGGTTCCCTTCACCGTTCGAGCGAATGTTAAATGCGCAGAAAGTCCATTGGACAGCCGGGGATGGAACCTACGACCTCAGGGATGAGAGTCGCACGCTGAAGCCACTAGGGCTACTGTTTTATATAATTAATGTCCCATTAATTTAATGAAGCATGGTTGCCTACATCACATGCCCCCCTCCTGACCCTAATGTTACTGTACTGATTTGCGCATGACTGTTTACGACATATCGTCATAAATATTATTGTAATATTACGTCAATATTTATTATTCCCTGATAAAATGTATTACGTATCTCAAATATATCTGTCTGTACAATCCAAAAAAATAACGATCACTTTTACGATTGTCCTACACAAACTTCATAAGAATCGGTCAAGCTGTTGGAGAACAAGAGTTTTATATAAGGAGGATAGATTTTATATGAAAATTATGATTATATAGAAAGTAGTGCTTATCCGCCCTGCAACGCCAAGGGGCTCGCGGGTGCTGCTGACCTTTAGTACAATGCATTCTTTGCGATGTTTCATAATTCCAGGGTAACATAAGCTTTATTTCCAAAAAAAAATATAATGGCATGCGGCCGGATGGGATGTCGTTGATCCCTTGGAAAATGGGACGGCCTTTGCCCCGTCTCACCTCCTTCGGGCAAGCCAAAAAGCTGGGGCGGCCGCAGAGAAGGCGGAAAATAATAAACGGCTTAAATATTCAATTCTTTTCTCCAACTTCGATTTTGTTCCCTTTAGAGTAAAGACTCTTGGGCCGTGGTAAGTGCACATCTAATTAAAGATTAAAGTTGGCACCTGGTAGATAGTACCGGTGACCCCAGAGCTGGTGCTTTCCTCGCTCAACGAATAAGTATCGCAATACAGCGAGAAAATGCTGCCAGTGTTAAAGGTACACTGCCACAGGGACCAAACTTTTTAAATTTCTTTCAATAATTTTTCCTCCACCACCAAGCCAGCAATTGGTGGGACGCAGGACTGGGATGAATGGGAGTCCAAGACTTTTTTTCAGACCAGATTCAGAGGGAGTTTTAAGCTACATTCGTGCTATTATTAACCTCATTCAGATTTGAGTCGCAATTTTATTCCTATCGTCTGCCAAATGCCACATAACAGACGCTGCACATATGATATGTTTAAAGTATTTATAATTGAGTAAGATGTGGCCGACCTGGTGGCTTTTTTATATAAAGGACAGGAGGCTCTCTGGTGTTAAGTGATAGCCGCCCATAGACACTCACATTGCCAGAGTTGCGTTGCTAGGCTTTTAAGAATTGGTACGCTCTTTTTTTTGAAGGGCTTTTTAGTATGTGCGCTGTAGCATGCTGCATGGTGCGGATGACAGTTACTTTTTCCTTTCAATTTGATTTTATTTGTAGTCTAGAACATTCTGGGTGGGTTAAATTTAAGTTACTACAGTTATTAATGATTATATACGAATGTGGTACAGCTGAAATACTAAGTCATAATTTGTAAATCGCGGCAAATTTCCAGTAAAACGTAAAATTAAGCAACTGTCATCCGCACCTTGCTTTAGCGTACATACTTCAAGTCGAATTGGTTTAGAAATACTTCAGTGGGTCCTAATAGCTGGAGGAAGAGTTAAAACAATCAATAATATATTTATTATAATATTCCGTTTCGACGCCTATTCAAAGTTTATTCTAATGCAATAATATCGTACGATGGTAGCGTGATATATTTTACTTTTTGTCTTTAATAGTACGAGATCCCGCTGCAGGATTGGTGCGCTCATCGACTATTTGTTTAAAACCAAATTTTTATGTTTATTTATAATTAAGAGAATATATATTTACTAGGGTGCCTATCAAAATTTAGCCGCCATTATTTTTAATTAAATTATTTTTAATTGATTTTTGGTAAAAAATTGCGTTCATTTATTATTTAAATAAAATAACGTCTACATCACGGTAATTAATATGAAGATTCTAAAATTCACGGGTGCCGTTGCGCACATGGCCGCACCTCTTTGCAGCCAGGTGTAAACAGGTATGATTTCGATAAATTTATACGTTTATAACCTATTTTTATTAATTATATGTCAAATTGAAGCTAATTTTTTTCTATTAATTATCATATAAAGTTGCTTAATTAAATCTGGCCGCAAATAAGGGCTACTGGCTGTTAAAGATAATAAATATTTAAGGTAGAGTGAAAGAGAGTTAGCGCGTAACATCATTTGTCAGACGAGGACAGCGATTGTCGGCTGTGCGACGCTCTTAAGCCATTGCGCATGCGTCGAACGTTAGTGTTCTCAACCACCGGGGAGTAATAGAGACGACTTATAATAAATACTCCAAAAAATATGTAATTTTTTTCAAAATGACAAATTTAAAAATTGCAACAAATTCAGCCCAGAATGGCTGGCTGGTCCTAGGTGGTTTTTTAAAACCAACATGGTTCCTGGGAGACTCAACTCCAACGCAAGTTAATAGTGTGCTATGTGAATCCATGAACAAAGCTTCCGATAACGACGATTCTGATATTTGTAGCGATGAAAGTGATAGCTCCGATGATAGTACAACAGAAAGCTCCGATGATTCAGATTTTTAAATAAGAGTTACGGAAATATAAGATTAATTTTTTAATTTTTTAATTTGCTTAAATGTTTAATTAATATGTAATAGACAATCAATTACTTGAATAAAATCTAATAAAATTTTTAAATAATACTTTCGCAATAAAATTTTCTTTTACTTATGTCGCCTTGGTTTTATTTTTTTATTTTTTAAATTAATATTAAATATCGACGTTCTAATTAGCAAATTATCTAACTCCATTTTAGAGAATCTTTTATTTGTACGAAAAAAACAATGACTTCAAAATTTATTATCATTTTAAAAAACCATTTAATATCTAATAGAGATATAATTTTTAAGTATGAATCATTCAAATAATTTGTAATTGGATTATGTCTTCATCAAAATTTAAAAAAATCACCCTCTAAAAAATAAGGAGTTAGACAAATTGCTAACTAGACCGTCGATATATCAAATCAATATTAATTTTTGTTGCAATTTTTAAATTTGTCATTTTGAAAAAAATTACATATTTTTTGGAGTATTTATTATAAGTCGTCTCTATTACTCCCCGGTGGTTGAGAACACTAACGTTCGACGCATGCGCAATGGCTTAAAAGCGTCGCACAGCCGACAATCGCTGTCCTCGTCTGACAAATGATGTTACGCGCTAACTCTCTTTCACTCTACCTTAAATATTTATTATCTTTAACAGCCAGTAGCCCTTATTTGCGGCCAGATTTAATTAAGCAACTTTATATGATAATTAATAGAAAAAAATTAGCTTCAATTTGACATATAATTAATAAAAATAGGTTATAAACGTATAAATTTATCGAAATCATACCTGTTTACACCTGGCTGCAAAGAAGTGCGGCCATGTACGCAACGGCACCCGTGATTTTTTAGAATCTTCATATTAATTACCGTGATGTAGACGTTATTTTATTTAAATAATAAATGAACGCAATATTTTACCAAAAATCAAATAAAAATAATTTAATTAAAAATAAGGGCGGCCAAATTTTGATAGGCACCCTAGTAAATATATATTCTCTTAATTATAAATAAACATAAAAATTTGGTTTTAAACAAATAGTCGATGAGCGCACTAATCCTGCAGCGGGATCTTAGACCATTAATAGTTCTTTTCTCATGTAAGTGCCATGTATGTTTTTAATGAGAATAAAACCTTATCTATAAAACTTTATTTATATACATACTAAATTGACTCGTTCAAGGTTAAAATTGTATTCATTATTTATCATTTATGGAAATATTTTTTCTCAACCAGACTATGGTTTAGAGCTCAATAAATCTTGTCTTAATGTCATCAGAGTTTGTCGTCATTTGTTTTTTTAGTATATAAAAAAACAACTACAACCTCTTTAAGTCTGGGCTCCAGATTTCTGTATCTGTCGTCATGATCATATGATCATTTGAGCGAATGTTAAATGCGCACATAGAAAGAAAGTCCATTGGTGCACAACCGGGCATCAACCCTACGAAATCAGGTTTCACGCTGGAGCGACTAGGCCAACACTTTAAATATTTGCAATTTAAATTCCAGTTAAAATAAAGAAAAATTCGTACAATAGTATCAAATTTTGAGTTTTCAAATTAAATTTTATGGTAATAACAATTAAAAAACCTATTAGTCGCGCATTATTATTGTTAATTATCAAAAGTCTCGACTCACTTCGTTTTTTATAAACGTATTGTGTACGCTTAACGCTCAATTTTTAATTTCATTTCCACTGCCAAGTCTGAGTACAGGTTATTGACATAATACATCAGCAATCACAAAAATATCAAATAAACAAATTCGATAAAATCGTTAAGTACAATATCGGATAAGCGTCGCCTTCGTTCCAGAGTGACCTAAAATACTGTTGCATTAATGTGCGCGCGCATAGCAACAGTTGCGCAAGGTTAACTCGCGCGGTCAGATGACCGACCAATCACAACAGCGAACACCGCTGACGTCAGATACCACGCCTGCGCGCGCCTCCGACGCCATTTTATATAGATAACGTTGAATAACAATGACGCAGTTCCAGATTGATATTCGCGGGGTTAAAGCGTAACTCTTCCTTAATTGTCGATCATATTAGGTGACAAGGACGCCTTTATTGTTTTTAAGTAGCGAAATTGACGGAATTAAATTATTATTAGTATACTGCGGTAGAGTAATTAATATGAATGAGACGTCTACAAAGGAGACTTAAAATCTTGGAATAATTCGTTCATAGCGTCAGAAATGTTGGAATATAGATTATTGACTCTAGAATCGTTCTAAAACCAATGTGGTGATTATTTTTATTTTTTGCACATTTGGTACCTATACCAACTATTCCGTTAGTAAAAGAAGGAATTTAGTGTAAACCATAGTGTAATAAAATTGTATATTTATTTCTTTTAGTATAAGTAATATATGTAAATAAGATGTGGATAAATTATTATTATTATTACATTACGTTAATGTTTTGGGTTAATGTATAAATAATAAGGCTGAGTCAGCACTTAACGTTCACATTTACCATATTTAAGTAGTTAACAGATATTTAAACAAATATTTATTTTTAATAGATCGGGGTATAATTTTTGATCTTAATTCAGTCCTACTGTTTCTGATGCTGAGATTACAGTTCTAGATATATAACTTACCCATCATGTTTGACATGAACTTCGATCTGTCCATTGGAGGTATCCATTTGGATGCCATGGGAAGAATGGCAGGCCATGTTGCTCCCAAGAGGAAGCCGAGAACTACTCGCAACGCCACTATCCAGCCGAAGCCAAGCGCGGCAGCACCAGGGGAGAGAAGGGTGAGGATGCTGGCAAGAAGAGTGCTGTAGCCGAAGACTCGTCTATAAAAAAAAGTTGATAATAATTCAGTAATGTGTTTTAGTTAATTTAATGTGTTTTTGAAGTTTTAACTTAAGTTTGTTAACACCTCAATAGCTCGAAATTGAGCCTCATATGGCAGTGTCACACCTGCCCCCTTTTTTTTAAATTAACATAATCTGTTGTCGTATCGAATCACATAAAAAAAAACATTTATAAAATCTAATATAGTTCATAGCAAAGTTGCTCTGTTCTTTAGACATTGCCGACTCTGAGTATGGAGTTAATGAATATGACCGTGTAATTATACCATTATCTCAATAATAACTGAAGAAAGTCGTTTTAGTTAATTGGTGATATCATGCTACGCCCACATTGTTTTGCGAAAACAAACACGCATATTTGCAGCATGATTGCGCATACGCAGGCGTATTCAGCCCGCATTGCCTTCTAGAATGTTCCTTGAAGTATTTTATAGTAACTTTGATCTATTTATCAAGACTCTTATTATTTGTAATAAGAATTAACACGAATTAATTAATAATAAGAAGTATACAATGGTAATACAGTAAGATGATATATATTGTTTGTCCACAAATTTATCGGAAATAAAAATTCACATTTGATGAAACTTTGTAGTTAAGTCGTTTTCGGTGGAGAACGTAAAATTATTCATTTTTAATAGCAGTGATTTGAGCCGAAAATTATAGACATCTATCTACATCTCTTAGGACGTTTCTTGTGAATAAAATAATTATAAAAGGATTATAATATTTATTGCTTTTAAAAGGTACTAGGACTTTAGTAGAACTTTTGAAGTAGATTTCGTCATACACATTTACATTCATTCATCCATATTTACAAAATATATACTTAATTAAAAACTATTTACAGAAATAATTATTTTTATAGAGTAAAAGCCTCCTCTAAATGGCTCAACTCTCTATCTTGAGAATTTTCTCCCAGACTTCACCAACTTCTTAAAGCTCGTCAGCCTATCAGTGAAAGAGGGCGATCTCTGTTTCGTTTCCCTGTTGGCCCTATTGACCTTGTTACCCATGTATTTGGCCATAAAAGCTTTTATTAACTATAAACGAATATGTTCTTTACCTACAGTTAATGAACGTTTAAAACAATTTGGTTACAACAAATAAACAGACATAAAAAACGTTGAATGGTCGAAAATTCTTGGGTTTTTGAAGACATTGTTTTATAAATGTTAATAAGCATACACGTGTATAATATTAGCAATTAATAACGCTAAAAATAGCTTAGTAATAAGCTATTTTTAGCGTTATTAATTAGTATGAACAATATTAATCAATTTTTATTAGTCCAATTGAATGGATTCATAACAAAATTATTAACTGGCTGCCCCCGAGATCTTCGTTTTGCCTCAATATGATGTGTTGCTTAGCCTAACCTTTTTAGCTATATACTAACATATTATGAAACATTTTGCTATGCTACCCCACATACACTGTTCGCTTATCCGGAATGTAAACATACTTACTATTTAAAAAATAAATTGTGCGTGTACTAGGTGTACACACGTAAGAAGTGAAACTTCTTTATGATCTTATTTTTCGAAAAATGATCTACTATATGCAACTTTACAGAAATTCGTTAAATTAGATAAAGTTTAACAAAAGGCTTTTATTATCATAGACATGAATACAAATATTTCATTTTACCTTATTACTACGAAGATTATTATAGAATTTCATTAATTGTAATAGAATTATTACTATCTTTGAAAAACGTGACTATTTGCTACAAAATTTCTCCCATACGTCGATAAAGAAGTTTCATTCCAACGCCGATAAAGAAGTTTGTCTTCAAAAAGCAACATGGCGCGTAACCGAAAAATGTGACGCGTAACGAAAAAATGTTACACTAAATTTTTTTCCAACCTCGATAAAGATTAAAGAAGTTTCACTTCAAAAATTAAATAAGACTTAACCTTAAATAGTCTCGTTTCGTTTCGTTCAAATAAAACTTTTGAACTTGGTACGACCTAGATAACAGCTTACTCATAAACCGGTTCCATTTAAATTCATGAATTATGTCCTCATTGATTGTGTTATCAGGAACTTTACCCGTTATAAATTTTACTAACTGCTAACAAATAGGCGTTATTTTAAAGCTATGATATCATAATATATCATGATATATATCATAATAATCATGATATATATTGTGAGCAGTGTTGGCCTAGCGGATTCAGCGTGCGACTCTCATCCCTGAGGTCGTAGGTTCGATCGCCGGCTGTACACCAATACCACTTTCTTCTATGTCCGCATTTAACATTCGCTCGAACGGTAAAGGAAAACATCGTGCGGAAACCGACATACACAGGAGGCTGATCACCTACTTGCCTATTAGATTGAAAAAATCTCATGAAAAAGATTCAGAAATCTCTGGCCCAGACCTAAAAGAGGTTGTAGCGCCATTGATTTATTTATTTTTTATATCTATCCTTTCTAGTTAGAAACTTTCCCTCCTATTTTTTTTTCGGGACTGAAGGAAACGAGCTCGTGGTTGTTATCACTTTAAAGTGATAACCCCCTGCTAACCCCTGGCGTTGCAGGTGTGTTGCCGACCTCCAGTCTAGCCACTAACTGGTCTGAAGGCCCCAGTGGCCAAGGTCGAGAACCTGTGTATACTGTATATGTATATATATATATTTATTATATATGGATTATATTATTTATTGTCCGAGAAACATTAACAACAAAATTTACTGCCGAACTTTCGTTCGGCTACGGGGACTTTATCAGAACTTTTGAAGTCAATTTCGTCATACACAGTTTCGTTATGCTTGAGTCATGAATACCTCAAGATATAACCTACTATTACATGGCCATTTAGTTGGATGGATCGAATTAAAATTATCAAATAATAAGAGACGACAAATTTCGATAAGTAAAAACCTCTACCCGATGGTCATATTACATCCTTAACTTAACTTTGGCTGCCAATATTCTTGCCATATACAGATATTCTTTTGGCAGTTTCCGGTCGCATAGTTCACACCGGAAATTGTGAATTGCATCAAATATCATGTCATGTTTTGTTAACAATTTATTACTTTTGGATTAAATTGTATATCTTTAAGTAGACGTATGTGTGAGAACAATCTACCAAATTTAGTAAAACGCTATTCAGGCAATATTATTTATTTATATATTTTTTTTTAAATGAGGTAAAAATGCGCTTACGCAAGCGCGAGCCATGGAAGTCGAGCTTGACGCGGGGACTATGGGGCTGGGTCTACACTCAAGACCTCTGCTATTCAGAGGGCTAGTGAGACTCATCCATTAAAAACACCTCAGCCCTTTACACAGCCTTAAGATGGGCCCTCGGGTTCGCCAGGCATTCTTCCCAAGATACAGCTACTCTAACAGCTTATAACCAATGCGATACTTGTGTAAATTTATTACCGTAACATAGTATAGAGAACATATAAAAATTTCGATCGTTAGGAGACTTTTAAGCACTCGCAACGCCTTTGTTAACGGGTCCTGGTGCCAGAGTGCTGGTCCCTAGGGGCAGTGCCTTGTTCTGCCCCTAGGGACTGCAAATAACCTTTGTTTCCTACAGTCTCAAATAGCTGTTGTGTACAAATAAACTGAGTTCATGCAGAACACTAGGATTACTAGAAATTCCCCTAAAAACTTTGACAACTTTAATTTCCAATCAAAAATATTCTTCGATGAAATTAAATCTAAAATTTCCTAAACAGTATAGGGACTAGCCAAATTATTTACAAGCATGTTTCGTCATCGTCGATTAGACTATTCCCGTTTTGTGTCACGTGACTTCGTATAAAACTCGACGAAATATATAGATTTTTGTGATAAAAAATTGGTTGATTATTATTCATTGCTCGAGTTATTTAACTCCATAACCCTTTTTGAATCTATTTTAAATATACTATTTAATGAATAAATCACAAAGCATAAATATAAATGCCAACTGTCATGTATAAGAACGTTGGTGTCACATCAGAAACAATACTAATTCTTTTACACATAATATAATAAAATAATTTAATTACTGTATTTTCACATACCTTGCTCCTATAACCTCTGCAAGTCGACCACCTGGAACCTCTGTGAGAACATAACCCCAGAAGAAGCAGCCAAGCAGATGATTCTTCTGCTTTGTATCCCAATGATAGCGGGTCTGTGTTATATGTTCTGGGTGCTGCAAAAATAGGAACATGTATGTATGTGATCTAATTTAAATAGAAATTATTCCCTATTCTATAAATATAAGTTTCATCTGGCAGTAACTAACTTTATGTGGTAATTCGGATTAACAGCTAAGTTGCCCCATCAAACGTTGAGGCAGAAAATGAAATTCCACCCGTATCACCTCGACGTTTCACAACGTTTATTTTGTAAGGCACTTTTCCACCACCACTATTTGAAGCCAGCTGTCTGCTCTTTAAACCGTACCGTTTCTTAAAAGGCCTGCTTTGCAAGTCTTCTTTCATTGTCAGTGGGCATCATTTAACATTAGGACAACTTCCAATAGCGATACTGAGGGTCATTCCAGTCCCAATAAGAGTATCTCGTGGCCTCGGAGGAGAACCATGCCGCGTTCAGTAGACGCACGCGCTTGGCATTGCATAAGTGAGATCGATGCCGCTAAAAAGGGATTGAGGCGAGCACTGGACGAGGGAGACACGACGGGATGCGACGTTGATGTGGAAATATCGACACCGACGACAAGCCGTTCTCTTGCCGTCGGTGTAGAATGATAACCTCGTATGTCCAGAGAACCAAACATTACAGGATACGAAAAAAATTTTTCATTTCGTCAATTTTCGTTAAAATTTTATTGTGTCTTTGTCCATAGTTTTAGATGGTAAAAAGGACTTATTTATTAATAACATAAATAAGACTTCATGATTATACCAGTTAAATGAAATAAGAGTCTAAGGGTCTGTTTCACAATGTATGGATAAAGTACCAAATAGCTATGCAACACATAAATTATTTGGAAGATAAGTTGTGCTATTTGACATTCATCGGACTCATAGCTTATGATGGACTATATGTGACGAATAGCGCTATCTGAGTCGTGAAACGCAACAATAGTGTTTATCCTACCAATAAGTAATAAATAGCTCATTTGGAACGTATGTAGAACTTAACCGTACATTGTGAAACAGACCCTAAGAATAAAAAATTAATGGTTTTTTGACGTACGAGGTTATCATTCTACAGTGACGTTGTCATGTCCGCCAGAGGGAGAATGCGCAGCCGGACAAAAATAGCGTGAAATTTGTAGGGAGTCAAGAGAGTGCGCCGGTGACGATGCAGATGCATAGATTCACCGGTGCATCTCGCATTGCTTCGGTCGAGACCCGGTCCGCATGACCGCCAGGGCGGATGGACCATGGGAACGTTGGTGGGTCCCAATAATAACTTTGGTTCCGCGATCCCAAGGCGACATCAGTGCTACTGATATTGAGAGTCATGCATAGAACTTACAAAAACTTTATCGGAATCGCTGTTGGAAGTTATAGTGTGATCCTTTAAAATTATATGGCAGTATATTATCAGGATGCTTACCCTTGATGTTAAGAACAAGATTAATGATTTCGTCCATTGACTTGGGTTTTTACCAGCCAGATAAGAATGTAACTTTTTCCTTCTAATTAAATATCTTGAATATTTTCCTGTTATTTTAGATTTGTTTCATAAAGTTTTAGATGTACTGTAATCCCCTTATAACGCCAAAGCGAACCGCGTTATAGGAGTATTATCGTAAAACCGATTTTATTAACAATTCAAAAACTAGTACGTTTAATAAAGTTACCCGTACTAGTTTTATATTTATAAAATATTTAATAAAGTTATTGAAACAGGTGCAAAGCTACGCAAAACTAATTTCACACAACGGAAATATAACTTGAGAAATCTCCGCGTTATATGGGGGAAATGGCGCGTTATTCAGGGACAGATATCTCGTTATATTATTGTAATAAAGACATGTTTGATATTATTTTAGGTATACCGCATTAATTGTCATGGAAAACAATATTCCTTGAAGAGGAACATGCTTTTATATAAACAAAGGATTAATAAAATTATTTATAATTAAATGTTTATTTATTGAGTAATACATAGTTGTCAAATAGTAAGGGATTGGATGTCTAAGGCTAGTCAGACGTTTCAAGAATGAAAGAATCTATCTAATACAGGAATACAAAACAATATATGTTTTACCATTCTCTAGGTATCTGTTTAGTTTATGTGCAAATAAATTTTAATTTTCTTTTACAGCAACTATATAATAACCTCAAGCAGCAGTAGTGGCTTCAGCGTGTGACTCTCATCGCCTCGTAGGTCTGTCCTCGGCTGTACACTAATGTACTATCTATGAACGCATTTAACATTCGCTCGAACGGTGAAGGAAAACATCGTGAGGATTCGCATGCCTTAGACCCAAAAAGTAGGCGTGTCAGGCACAGGAGACTGATAACCTACTTGCCTATTACATTGATAAATGATCATGAACAAGTAACAGTCATCTGAGGCCCAGACCTAACTAGGTTGTAGTGCCACTGATTATTTTTTGACCTGATAACGTCTTACGTTTTATCTTTAAAGCAAAAAAATAGGCTCATCTGATGTTAAGTGTTACCGCGATGTACACCCTCAATGCCAGAGGGCTCGCGAGCGTGTTGCCGGCCTTTTAAGAATTGGTACGCTCTTGTTGAAGGAAGTAGATATCAGTCAGATTCAGTAGATATCTGATATTAATGTTAACTTAATACCAGCTAACCTGGCGAAATTCGTACCGCCTAACATAACAGTTGACATGTCTGGGATGTTCTTAAGAGACGTAAGATCAGCGCAACCTGCTCGACAAAACTCCAGCTGAAAAGAGTCATTCCAGATGAGTGGGAACGTATTCCTCAAAACGTTGGTGATAAGAGAAGAAGAACGCTTGAAACTATGATATTGGCTGGTCACAGTTGTTTTTACATGTGTAACTTTATTTAAGTAAAAACGTCTTTTCTTTATTGCCGACCGCCTCTAATTGTTTATATTTTATCAAAAATTAATAAACATATTTGCCAGAATTCACTTCACAGTTCACGCATATTAATTTTCACGAATCTAAGTATACAGACAATTAAATTTCTATTAATTAAATTAAATTGACATTAGATCGTAAATTTCCTTAGTTGTGTTTATTTGCAAAAGAGTTTAAAACAACAATGAAAATCGTCTTAATAATATTATTTTAAATTCTGGAAGATATACAATTCAATTTTGGGATAGATCTAATATTAACCCCGATTAGCCAGTACACAAGCGACGCAAGTGGAAATAGATAGGCCATACTCAAACTCAAAATATCTTTTACTTTACTACCAGTTCGCAAGTCAAGGGCGTAGAGCGGGTAAGAAGAACTGGCAAGAAACTTTCCGCCACTCTATTTAATCGCCAAGTAATGAGTCATACAAACTGTTTGAACTGGAGCAAATCAATCCCAAGGATTAGGATCATTTAAGTATTCCTCAAATTTACAAAAAGCTTTATTGATTAATTTTCGTTTAACGAGGGCTTTGAATTTATCTTCCCGTCCCTATTCGCTTAGCTCCTTCTCTATCTTCCTTTAAATTTCTTCTGTACAAACATTACCTGTCCATATCGTATCCCTAACTTTCGTACTAACTACTAACTGACGTGAAACTGATCTTAAATTAAATTATTATGATTCATGTGCACTTTTTACTTTTTATTTTTCATGTATCCTTTATTAGTTTAGTTTGTTTTTTTTCCCTAATAACTATATGAAATATGTATTTTTGCACTTCTTGCTTATCATATCTAATTTAATACATTCTTTTTTTCTTTTCTCACAGGGGTTGCCTGGAAGAGATCGCTCGAAAGCGATAAGGCGGCCATTTGCCCTCCTTTACATTTAATTATGTTAATTTTGCGGAACGCTTGCATTCTTCCTGTTCAAATAATCTGGAGTTTAATTGTATGTGCAACCTACCTCTGTAACGTTAAGTGATTCGGTGAGGTTGGCCACCACCTGTGCGTCCTTCTCGTCGAATATCATCTCCACTATGGCAATTGTGAGGTTCACGCGCAGTGCGTAGTTCAGCATGAACCCGAGAAGCACCATTATGTTTAATACTTGGACGCATGTTAGGCAATCTGAAAGAAGAAATATAATTATAAAATGAAGAAAAATTGATGAGACTGAAATGACGATGCGCGCGCACCTGAGACACAAAGTTGTCAGTGTGATTATAGCGTGCGCAAGCGAGATGGGAATAAGACAATCTACAAGTAAAAAGAAATAGAATATGCGTGACGTTAGCAGCTATGCCAAGAATTTTGAACGACCATAATGACATTTACCTTTTAAACAAATAAAGGAGTTTTAATTATTTTTTCAAAGAAATTTAGCAATGCTTTTTCACAAAGACCTATTGTTACTTAGTTAAAAGGTTATAAAACATACCAAGTTATTAAATACAATGAATAATATAATAAAATAATAAATTATAATAATAATTGTTTTTAATATTAATTAATAATTGAATAATATACTAAATATTATTAAATTGTTTAAGAAGTATAACTTTTTCACGCACCCTTTTTTTTTGGATGATAAAGCTCTTATTTAACTTTTAGGTATAATAATAATATCTGGTATTAATCTGTAATTGTATTGGAAAACCACCTTTTTACAGCGACCAACTCGTAGTTTACCAAAAACATTAAAATATCTTCCAGTTTTAGAGTTTTTAAAATCGACTTAATGTACGTCTTAATTTGGAAAAAACATATTATTCTATTAATGACTATTTAAGTGAAACATGATAATAATTATTAATTTCTAAAGTTATAATATATATGAATAATGTGATATTTCATCACTACAAATAATATAAGAATTGACTATGTAATGTAGGTAACTTCTATGTATTCCTTTTAAGACAAATTTGCACGCCATTATGTGTGGCAGAATATGCGACCTACCATATTCTTGTAAATAAATTATTATTATTATTGTTCCACAACTGAGCCTTTTTAGGCATTTTTCCACCGCTATGTGGAACCCGACAAGGTAAAAAATTACACAGAAACATATATACCTATAATTAATTTCTTTGCACCGACTACTAACAGTTTAGAAATTTAACAAATTACAGGTATGTCCGAACCAATACGACTTAAGGACCGGAAAAACCGGCAACACACTCGCGAGTCCTCTGCTATTGAGTGTCCAACGGCGGTATCACTTAACATCAGCTGAGCCTCTTGCCCCTATTCCATAAAAAGTATGTAAAAATCGTGTTAGGTGAGTGCTAAAATATTTTTCTAATGTACCTATAGATTTTTCTACTCAACTCCCGTATGAAACTGTTCTTTTAATATATGTATTTTGATTAACTTGACATGACCTATATATAACCTGTTAATGCGTCATATAATCAAACATAATTATAATATTACAACATCTCCAAGGTCGTTTTACGCAAAATCATTTTTCTCGCGCATAACGGCATTTGCGAAACGTGTTCTTCAAATTGACGATTTATGGTAAGCAAAAAAATTTGGTTTAACGATACTCGTTTTGTGATTAGAACCTTTAGATATTGTTAAACTTCACATTTAATATTAGTTTTTTTATTTATTTGCAATATTATTAACTGCTAAACTGTTTTTTGAAATTATACTTCTTTAGGCGCGTTATGAAAAATTGATGAGAGTGAAATTTTACTGTGACACAAAATTAACAGAATGAAGTTGCCCACGGAAGATGCTACGGCATTGGACATAATTTAAAAACAACATTCGAATAATAATAGAAGTTATGTTACACTTAATGTAAGAGAATAATAATAAATATTTATTTATTTAACTTTTCAAATGTAAACTTAACTTTATTGACTTTAACCCTTTTCCAGTCTTTGATTATTTAATCGTAATTAATTATTTGCATGCAATCAAAAACTATCTTTAATAATGCCAAAGAAGTATAACTTCTTACGCGCGTACATAAGTACACGCACCCTTTTTTTATTTATTTACTTGCATATGGTACAAAAATATGGTGCGTGCATATCATGTGCTCCCACATATTACTTTGGGTACATGCAAGTCGTAAAGAATGATAAAAATAATTTGGAGCTGTTTTACGGTGGAGACTTCATTTTAACCTAAAAATTATATATCTGACAAAGTTTGTTTTGTAAAATGTGTCATATAAAATGAGAAGGGTGCAGTTTTTCTGATTTTATGTGCCTAAATAAAGAAATTGTATTCAAAGTAAAAATTTAAGGGTATCACAGAATATTCGACTTATTCACGGACATTTATATTATTCATAAAATAATATAATAATTGACTATAAGTATATAATAATGTAATGTAATATATAAGTACCTACTATTTAGGCAGGCAGGCATTATCTGTCCACATCAAACCGTTTTAACTGATCTGAACAAATTTACTATTGTACATAGTTCAAAAAAGCAAAGATTTAATCTCACTTAGATTGTGACTTGGAGATGATAAACCTGACTCATTGCAGAAGAATTTACGATTTGATTCACTCCTGTATTATCTATTTTAGTTCGTATTGGTCAAGGACAACGTGTGAAATTTCTCCTGCTTGGCAACACCACTTCGCTTATGACGGGTATATGATGAATTATATTAAAACTATACGGCTCTTGGCCTCAAGGGCCATTCGTTTCTTTAATATTTTTATTATTTTATAAACAAATAAGTACATGTCGCCAATGTTTGGGTTAGCATGCCGGTTTCGTACGAGCGAGTGTTAGATGCACACAGAAAGTTCATAGATGCACATGATGGGATCGAACCTACGGCTTCAGGGACTAGAGACGCAGAAGCCACCAGGCCAACACAGGTCTAATTAAAATATAAAGGAAAAAACAAGTTGTCAACTTGCTTATCAAACTGATGCGATATACATAAATTAGTGTTTTTTTATTTACATATATCTGTTAATATAAATGGTTTCTTTATCTGCAAACTTATTAAGAATGAGCGGTTATTTTACTTTTTAAAATTATTTTTAAAGTTATACTTCTTTAGGTGCGTTGTGAAAAATTTATGAGAGTGAAATTTTACGATGCGCGCGCACCGTGACACAAAATTATCAGTATGGGCGCCGAGAGTGCGCGAGCGAGATGGGAATAAGACAATCTACAAGTAAAAAGAAATAGAATATGCGTGACGTTAGCAGCTATGCCAAGAATTTTGAATGACCATAATTACATTTGTAGTACCTTTTAAACAAATAAAGGAGTTTTAATTATTTTTTCAAAGAAATTTAGCAATGCTTTTTCACAAAGACCTATTGTTACTTAGTTAAAAGGTTATGAAATATACCTATTTATTAAATTGAATTAATAATTGAATAATATACTAAATATTAAATATTTTTAAATTATTAACGCTTAATATTTATTATTAATTATTGAATATTTAAAAAAAATAAAGAAAGCACGGCATATTCTGTTCAACCAATCAGCGCGCGAGGTGCGATCCGTTTCACAATTTGACGGTTTCACTGCGATAGATTACAATCTACCGAATAATAATACGTTAAATTGTAAGCAGTACGCTGAGGTTCACAATCTTTCGACAGTTTATAATCTCGCGAGATAGATTACAATCTAACGGTGTTTACAATTTTACGTTAACATTTATAAGGCAATGAAATGAGGAACATATTGTAGTGATTTCTGTCTAACTATAATGTATCAAATCAAAATCAATCAAATCAAATCAAAATACGTTTATTCAGTTTAGATGCTTCTTAGAGCATGCTTATGAATGTCAACAACGTTTACAAAATTCACGAAAGAGCAAGACTACGCCATCTGTTTGAATAAATAGTAAATTATATAAATTATTTCTGTATTCCGTGGGTTTAATATCATTTTTTTTATCTCTCCTATGCGTGTGGTAGAGAGGACTGGCACAGCCACTTCTACAATAATAATCCATCACTAGCATTCCTAAATATAGGTAGTAGAATAAGGACATCAGATGGTATAATTATGTAACCACAAAAATAATAGAAAAATGTAGTAGTGTTGACGTAACACGTCCAGTTAAATTTCAGTGTTATCACAAGGAAATGCGATAAGAGCCATGAATGGTTAAATTCTCGTTTTGTGTGTGAATTATTTAAATATGCTGGAGTATAAAAACGTTAAAACTGTCCTATTCTCTTTTTTCTTTCTCTCCTTCGTAGTTATTACTGGAGGTCGTGCCTGTCTTGAAAAGCCCTAACCGATACGTTTTGAAGTGAAACTTCTTTAGGCGCATGAGGGTAAATTTTTACGGAACGTCACGAAGATGTGCAGCGTTTTTGTCGAAGAAAAGGGAGAGAGAGATTGTGACCGATTGAGAGATAGTGAGAAGTGCGAATTACCTTATAGAAATTCTGTTATTAAAATTAAAATTTCGTAAAGAGAATTTTTGAAATATTAGTATTTTATATTTTATGCAAAATAATTTATTGTAATCTTAAATGACGAATAGTAAATTAAAACCCCACTTGCTTTTATTATCAAAGAATTTTTTTTTTAATTTTCGTCACTTTTAATATTTTTCTTTTTCCTTTTCACTAAGTCTAAAGTTTTAGATTTGAAACAATAAGTAAAGTATAAATATGCAAAAGACTTTAAATTTAGTTAGCCAAAGAAGTTTCACTTCTGACATGTGTCATTTGTACGCACGCGCTTTTTTTTAACGCGGGGCAAACGGGCAGTTGGCTCAGCTGATGTTAAGTGATACCGCCCATGGACACTCAATACCAGAAGGCTCGCGAATGCGTTGCCGGAATTTAAAGAATTGGTACGCTCTTTTCTTGAAGGACCCTAAGTCGAATTGGTTCGGAAATACTTCAGTGGGCAGCTGGTTCCACATAGTTGTGGTGGGCAGCAAAAACTGCACACCTCACTCACTAACTTCAGCTTGTCTCTGGGCATTAGGGAGCTTGAGACCCATAATTGTCTTAATTTGGTCAGACCAACGGGTAGGCGAACTCAGCTGCAGGTATTAATCCGAACAACTCCTCTGAACACTCTCCATGGTAAATGCGGTAGAAGATGCAGAGTGACCCCACATCTC